GCTGAAATGTGTGTCATGCGTTCCTCCCAACAGCCACTAATTGTCTGGCCTTCAAGCGAAATTCCATTTCCCCTCCTCTTCCTCTCCCTCTTCCTCTCTGACTGTTTAGAGACGTGTGTGTGCTTTGACTCTTGGTTTCTGTTCGTCCCCTGCAGACGACGTAAGCAACTGCAGCCTGGGGCCAATGTTGATGCTAAACAATACAGACTTGTCATCCAACAAAATATACAAATATAATTGTATATTTTTTTTATTTTACGTATATACACCATAATTCTTCATAGTGTCACAGTGGAAGTCTAAGCCAAGTCCAGCAGTCAGAGGGTTAGGGTGGGGTGCATCAGAAACACACACACACACACACACACACATCGGGCAAAACAAAACAAAACCAGGGATCGAACAAGAAAACCAGTGACCTCATTGCTGCTAGGCAAAAGCACTAACCATCATTCCACCACGTGGCCTTTCATTTTTAATCAATGAGTTTTCCTCTAATGTCATCTCAGACCAGACTCATTTGTAGATTGACTGTGTGCACAGTCGTCACAGACTAAGGTAAATCAGCAGTTTGAGACATAAGGATTTCTCTGCTGAGTCGTGGAACTCTGTGCTCTCTCATTGGACCTCTGGTCCGGCGTCTTCCTGCTGTCTCTGGAGACGGACACCCCTGCTCCTGTCCCTGCCTGCAGGTGTCCACGGGGACGGTCATACAGACTCTGGAGGTCAGACTCTTCGTTATATCTCACACCTCTCATAATTAAAGTGCATCTGCAATAATTCATGGAACAAAATGGACTCTTTTTTTCTGGGGAATAAACTGTGTATCTGCTCTAATTACCAGTGGATGGACTTGGAAATATTCTGCAAAGTAATAGAACTGGCAAACGGCGAACGCCGCGGTACACCCCAGTGAACTGGTAAACAGAATTAATGAGCTCTGCTTTTCAGCCTCACTGCTCCGACGTGCTGTTAAAAACAAGGCCTTTTCCAGTTGTCACTCACTCTTCTCTGAGAGGAAACATTTTGAACATAATTCAGGCCCCAGAAACAGGCGGAACTTGTCGACCATGAAACAGATCAGACGTAAAAACAAATGACTCCAATAAACCTCTGTCTTTCTGTTCAGCTTCTACACTTTACTCAATCATTTATTCCAACATTTTTTCTACAAGTTCTTAATCGTTTATCATCACGGGAACGATTCTCCTACTCAATCATTTATTCCAACATTTTTTTGTACCAGTTCTTATCATCACGGGAACGATTCTCTTGGATGTGACACAGATACCACCTACAGGTATTTACACACGTGAATAAATCTGATCAAATCCTGTGATCTGGTATCACAGGATAAACCCCATGGAGTCTGAGTCAGAGAGGCAGTAAAATGATATACTATTTATCTGTACTGACTCGAGTTATTAATATCTAGAGTTGTGCCTCTCGATCGTAAGGTCACAGGTTGAAGTTCTGACCAAACCTGTACCAGCGAAGTGAACCTCCAGCCTCTGTTTTAAATAAATATTATACATTGGCACAAATAATAGATACAGAAGAAAATATACACATATACAGCTGGGGTTTTTTTGTCTTACACTGCCTGGAAATAATGACACAATCATACACTGTCCCAATAATGACACAATCATGACAATAAGTCGTCCATTCTCCTCAGGCCAGTAGGATTTTGAACCTGCTCTCACCTCTTTTCTGGTTATTACCAGTCTGTCTTTTTGAAAAACATACCTCGACCATAACGACCAGTCTTCCAGTCATTTGTGGTCAGACTACAATGGCTCTAATCAATACCAGCAGTGCAATTGGCAGTATTGATGCTACCACACGTTGGCTGAAGGTACACGGACACAGGAGGAACATGCATTTATGTCCGTCTCTACAGATAATTGTGAGTCTTTGTCGGCGTCTTTACCCCAGGGATCAATCTTTGGTCTGTGCCTGTTCTGTCAATGATCCCCATATGGAACATTATGTATGCTCTTCAGCGTCCTCCTGTATTGTTACGTTGGTAACGCGTACTCTGACATGTGCTATTCAGCCTCACTGTCACAGAAGACGAAGCAGGAAATAAATCTCACGGTCGCTATAAAATACTGACTGAATGTAACGACACAGCTGCAGCCCCGATACCAGGAGGGAAAAGTTTACATTTCCCCTGAAGATCACAGTGTTCCTTCACGTCGCACCTGGAAGTTCACTGGACAACGATAGAAAAACCCATTGTGGCTGCACCTGAGGTGAAGTCAGATGTCTCTGATGTTTTTATGTCAAGATTATGAAGATTCCACCGTGTTTACGTAGGTGAGGAACAAAGGTATTTATGTCCAGAATGTGAGTTATGTTGTGCCGTAGGAACTGAATTCCAGTGTAAGTCAAAGACCCCAGTATATGGTACCATGGGTTATAATATGTACCCCACTGTGTTTGCCCTCTTCACTGTAGGACAAAACAAATTCCTTGTAGGTGAAAACCCACCTGGCAATAAAAAAAATGTTTCTGAGTCTGATTCTGAAAAATATGTGAAAATAATATTAAGATAACAGTTTAGATGTTCAGTGTTTGGTCAACTTTGACTTTGTAAAGCAACATTTCTTTTCAAACGTTGGGTTTTCTCAGCAGTGAGTGGATGGTGAGGTCACAAGAAGAAGAACTGTTGGGTCAAATATAAAAGCTAGATCTGTCCGTGTTATGTTTGCTCAGATGTGAAAA